GCTGAATCGCAAAACTCCCAATTTTAAACTGCCGCTGCGGTGTGTGATCAAATCCGACGGGAAACAGTACATCCTCCGCCGGACGCTCTCCTACCAGGGCGGGCCCGTCAACGACCCCGCCGAGGGGTTCAGGGAGAACACGAACGGGCTCCCGCGGCCTCATTCTTTCAACGTGTTGCGCACAGCCAACGGGTGCTCCCCCCAGCTGGCCAACGGGATCCGCGTCCACAGCAGCTTGAAAGACGAAGGCAAGCAAGTCAAAGAGGTCTCGTTCTCGGAGAAAGACGAAGTTTCCTACATCCACCCCGACGGAATGTCCCGAGTGGCCCGGGAGGAAGTCTCCTACTACAGTAAAGACATCATGAAAGAGATGAGCGCCATGGATTGTGAGATGGAGGAAATCTCCAGATTCGACAAAGAGGCTGTCACCCCGCCGTCCCTACGCAAGGAAAACACCCCCAGCTCCGAAACGAGAAAGGACGAGATCTCGAAACTCTACCGGTTCAAGGAGGATATTTCCAAACTCGCGCACTCGCGCTTCAAAGGGAAGCTAACTCCGCAAAAAGAAAAGGCAAAAAATATACGTAAAGATAAGCCTAGGAAAGGGAGACAAGCGCGTATAGACAACGAAGAGTCTTCTATATTTAGAGTGGACGACGACGAATCAAAATACGACATAGAATCAGACGATGGTGTTTCGTTTGCCTAATACACCGTTCATTTGACACGATATTTTAAAAAAAAATTATTTAATAGTTTTGGAAATTCTTATTGATTTGTGCTATTGTAAAATTGTTTTATTAATTTAGTTCATATAACAATTATAATTTGCTCAAAACCCCCCGAAATTGTCAATTTCGACTGACTATATATACACACAACAACTGATTCTGTGTGATAGGATAAGTGTTTATTGTCTAATTTGGTTTGTACACGTGTTATTTTGAAGTTAAGTGTTTTTGTATTAAAGGATATATATATATATATATATATATATATATATATATATATATATATATATATATATATATATATATATATATATACATATACATATACATATACATATACATATACATATACATAAACATATATATATATATATACATATATATATATATATATATATATATATATATATATATATATATATATATATATATATATATATATATATATATATTATATATATATATGCCAGCTGTTTTGCCCGGTGATCTCAATATGGAGCTACTTGTAAATGTAATGGTGTGATCGTACATGTGTAAATGTTCAACTTCAGAATACATCTGTATAGAGTGGAACTCTTTGTAACTAGACACAGAGAACAGCTTGCCTGCAGAGAGATATCAGCGCTATACGTAGACTTATTAACGCATTCTAGTTTCTGGTATTTGTAGATAAAACAATAACTTTGTTTTAGAGATTAAGTTTTCATGCGCGAAAATAAAAAGAAACAACTCCATCAAGATTGATTAACGTAAATAGTACAAAGTAACTTTGGAAATATTCCAATACTTCCGATAGTCCTGTTTAATGAGTACATTAAATCCGTTGCCTAACGGTCTGTTGTCACCATTTTGTTCAGATAGTGTTTTAAAAAGTTTATACATTCCGCTCGTTAGATTTATATATATAAAAATTTCTGATTTAAATTTTATAAAAAATAAATAAATAGAAAACAGATTTTTTAAAAAGTATTACAATGAACAATAACACAACTCTCTTTTACTACTACCAAATAGCTAATGTTATTTATCTTTAACGAAATAATTAATTTCAAATTAGCTGTTAAATTCTTGTCGTCTTGAAACTGTAACTGATCTAGATAGACATAAGCTGAGGAAATTAAAAAAATTTCTTATTCATACGGCAATGTAAAAAAAACCAATACTGCCTAAATCAAGTTATTCTTTAGTAACAAAAATTGACGGTATTTATGTTTCACCTGTTATAAATTTGCCAAGGGATAACATTTGGCGGAGTTATTAATTTTACTGATTAGTCTAATGATACCGGTAGATTACAATTATAGAAAGCGAGCAGGAGAAAATTTAAAAAAAATCGATTTTTAAAATTAGCCCTACACATCTTTTAAATGGTTGTAAGTTAAATATAACCTAATTAAAAATGAAAATTTAGATAAATAGACAGGTATGATTTTTTTACGACTTTTGATTGAAGAAACTGTTACATGAAACTAAGCAAAATAATGTTTTAGAGTGACGAGTGTAGTTTAGATCCAAATTGCTTTATACATAAAGTTATTCATAATGATGAATTTTTTAAAGGTAATCACTCAAAAATAAATATTTTATTTTGCGAGTCGCACTAGTCGACCCTCATTTATAAATATTTTTGCTGAAGTCAATAAAATAAAATATATTTTAGACTGCCACCGTATTCAAAACAAAAAACGGCAATAATAAAATAATGCATTATTTATAATTATTCATGTATATTAATTTTATTATTTTCTGAAAAGTCTACTACAGAAACATCTTTCCTTTGTGCTAACTAAATGTTCAATGTTAATTTGTTGATGGCTATTGCTGTATATTTGTGATACTAACTATTCTTATCTGTCTCTATATTTCCTAACCCTCTATTGTTGCATTAATATAATGCCCTGATATTAAAATATTTATGAACAATATTTATGTCTGCCATGAGACAGCTCTAATGAACAAAAAAACAAATGGCTTTGGACATTGTTTACATAAGACATTATATTTTTTTTAGTATAGGACTTACATGTTGTAACCATGCCCGTGGGGTTCGTCCATAAATGACCTCAGTTTTTTTTATACTGATTTATTTCTTACTTGGTTCACATCGTAAGCTTTGAGTTAAAAATATGTGGCCACTTTCCTCCACTAAACATGACATCACACATGAACTAACCTTTCACAATTTATTTTAATAAATTTTAATTAAGATGGTCTTACGAAGTGGAACGTCGTGGCCCAGCGGTAGAGCGCTAGTTCGAATCCTGGTTGAAATCAGTAGAACGTCCCTGAGTCTACCCAACTCTGATAGGTACCTAAGGGAAAGTAAAGGCAGCGTGGGCGTAGTGCTGACCACACTATCTCTTCACGTGCAGAGGTCACAGAAACAGGTGAACTCTACTTCACTTGTCCCATGGACCGTTAGGTTAGAAAAGGGAACTTTACTAGTGTTATATCTGGAGATATAAACACACTAGGTTAAATTTTTAACGTTTTGTTTGAACATATCACACCGCTCATCAGGGTTTAGTAATGAACGTTTTGTGAGCGTAAAGATTTCGCACAATAATATATTTATTGATCACTTTTCATTAAAATGTACACACAATTTTATGTTTTAAAAAATAAACCGGTAGTGATCTCCCCTAAACTTTCTCGAACATTCTTATATAAAACAACAGGGGATGGTAACTGGGGATATAGTTATGATTTTTAATCCATTTTAAATACTTAAACTTTTAAAAATAGAATAGAATCTCAGTAAAAAACAATTGCGCACCAAGCGAACGCCTAATAAAGGTGTGTATAATAGTGCGCAATAGTATTAGTACTTAATAAATTTACATTAGTTTTTTGAGAAATCGGAAGTAGCGTAAATTACTACTTCCGTTCAACGGAAATTACTCAAAATTTGAGAGAAGGTAGAGAATTAGATCTTTTACTTACATGTGAAATTTCATTTATCTATCTGAAATAGTACTCATATTTTATATGCTTTTGAAAAATTCAAAGTAGAAAAAGTACCACTTCCGGTTATCGGAAATCGCTCAAAAGTTGATACGGATCTACGATTTTGATAAAATACTTATATATGAAATTTCATCAACCTAGCTGTAACGGTACTCAAGTTATCGTGTTTACACACGGACACACACACACACAGACACACAGACATACGGACAGAATTGCAAAGTCCAGTTTTTCAGACTGGATTACGCATAAAACCTCTTAATTTTGATAAATCTGGATTGATAATTTTTGCCCGATTAAAATAAGTCCTCTATACTTCGGATGTGATGAAGGACTGAGGTGTAATACGGTGAAAATTGTTAAAATTTCAAGTGATTTTTGTGCACGATTACAATACTTTCTCTATACTTCGTATATACGAGAAAGTAAAAAAGCACAATTACAGTTAAAAAACAATTTATAAAATTTAAAAATAATATTATCCAAGTTTGACGTCAACATTTTTTCATCACCCGATCCTCTAAATAAAGAAATTGACCCACTTCCTATTGTGTTTCGTTATTTATGGACGACCCCATGACCCCTTGACCTACTGTATGTAATAAGTATATCATCATTAATTAACTAATTGACTCACTCTATTTTAATTACACGAGGTAAATAACAATTAATTTAACATATATTAAATGGTTCGATTTTCATTTTTAGTGATATTAAATGTTCAAAGACGGCTAAACTGGCAATTCATTGATAGAAACAATTATTATTTGTTATACGAATAGATAAGCTGTTTATTACTAATTTTATGTGTTTCTATCAGTAGTACTCATATATTTTTTTTCCACCTATTTCCACCTATAATTTAAAAATTTCATCAGCATTCGGCTAGTTTTATTTTCATTTGGATTTGTTTTGCTAAATGTATTAAGAAATAAGCGCAATGTTTATAATTTTACTCTGCCAATTGATCCTTCAGAAAGGGCTACAAAATATTTTCTTGCAACTTTTAACAACTCTTTTTTTCGAAACAAGATGTAGATCTAGTAATTTAAACAATATGGTTCACAGAAATAACACATGATTATGTTTTTAGAGTGAGAGGTTGTTTATTTATTTGATCTTTACTGACATACCAAAAACAGTTAAGTATTAGATAATATTTGTATACGATTGACAAAAAAATGACATGAAGAACAGTGTGATTTTGTCAGAGTTATTTATGTCATTGATTTATGCTGTTATATTGATATAACAATATCGTGATATTAAATATAATGTTCTGTTTCATGGTTTTTCTCTTGTTTAGAAAACTTTTTACTTTTAAAGATCTGAATTAGGTACTAAATGAAACTTGGTGAGTTTATGAATCTCACATACACATATAATATGATAATAAGAAAAGTTACCACCAAACTGGCTACACATAATTAATACTATCGTTAAAATTGATTAAAAATGTAGTGTAATTTGTATAGCGAGCCAAATATAATTGATAAGCCGGAGGTAATACTTCATGTTTGGTTTTTGGGCCCAATATTGGGCCAGTCAGGGTAAGAATCTCGAGTTCGAACCCCCGGGCAGACGAGGCTCGTTAACTGGGGACAGCCACTCTTCTAGGAGAGACAACTCCAAAATCAAACAACCGCTGCCTTGTAGTTTGTTCTTGGCTGGACAAAGGTTATGGAAGCAAATCCATAAAGAAAAGCAGGCTCAAATCGGATTCAATGGCCTCAATGGCGCATAACCAGTTGACACGTATACTTAATTGTGTTAGAGGGGATCCCTTCCACCACTAAAATTAAGAACCAAGAAGAAGAAGAAAAAGATGGTAAAACGTCGTGTTGTGGTTAGTGTTGGGGTTATATTTCAATATACATTAAAACTTTTGTCACGACAAATTTTTTGAAAGAGCTACTCGTCAGAATTTACAAGGTCTGTAAAATTGCGCCCTTTTTAGTATTTAAAAGTTTCAAAATTTGCATATTTAGTATAAAGTTTTATCTGAGAAAGCCATCACAATTCTCTTGTGACAAAAGTTTTATTTTCATATGAAGAACAATTACTTAAAATATGGTTGGCGTTGTTAAATAAAGAAACTGCGAAAAAACAGCAAAAAGTAACGAAAAGTAGGTCACGAAAATACCATATCTGTGTAATTTGTAAAGCCGATTTTAAACTTTGGGTGTTTCCGAGTTGATTGAAACTACGATTATCAAATACATGAGAAATACACCTTTCTAACGATGCAATATGCAGTATGATGACGGATATAAAACTTTTCTTAAAGAACTTGTAATATTTGTGAAAAAAAATGATAATTTTTTTTAATTAATAGGGTCATAAAAATGGTATTTTAAACACACATTTTTTTCCATTTAAGTTATAATTTATTAATACGAAAATGGACAAAATATCCAAAAGTGCAAGAAACCCATAATGACGAAAAACCAGGAATTTGGTGATTTTGTAATTAGCATATCCACTTAAACTTGCTGAAAAATAAACCGGGAATGATCTACCCTAAACTTTCTCGAATATTCTTATATTACACTACGGGGGAAGGCAACTCGGGATATAGACATGATTTTTAATCCATGTTTAATTAATTAAACTTTTTAAAATGGAAAAGAATCTCGTAGAAAAAATAAATTGCGCACCTAGTGAATGTGTGTATAATAGTGCGAAATATTATTAGTACTTTATAAATTCTTTTTTTTTGAGAAATTGAAAAAAAAGTAAATTATTACTTACGGTCGAGGGAAATTGAAGACCTTAGTGCTAAAAGTACTTAAGTCACAAAAACAACATTTTGAGATAAATGAGTTCAAAGATTAAAATTTACTATAAAACATTACGTTTTTATATTATTTGTTTGTTTGGAGGAGCAACTTAAATACATTCTTCAGTATTACTATTTGTTTATAAGATAAAGTTAAACTAGAGGAATAACGATCAATGCTTGGTTTGATTTTCACAAAAATGTGACTTAAGTACTTTTAGCACTAGGCTCTTCAATTACTCTAATTTGACAGTTGGCCGAAAAAGTAAATCTTTTACTTATACATGATATTTCGTTTATCTATCTGAAACAGTACTCAAGTTGTAGGTTTTTGAAAAACCAAAAGAATAATAAGTTCCACCTTTCGGTTATCAGAAATCACTGAAAAGTTGATACAGAACTACAAATTTGATATGATACTTATATATAAAATTTCATCAACCTAGCTGTAACGGTACTCAAGTTATCGTGCTCACAGACATACAAACACATAAACACACATACACAAAGAGTCTTTGTCAAAGAAATATCTACAAAATTGCAAATCTCGATTTTTTTTGCACCATTACAATACTTTCTCTATCCTTCGTGTACGAGAAAGTAAAAATGCTTAGTGATTATTTTTATATTCGTTCTCAATACAATTTGACTACAGGACCTAAAATAGACAGGCTTGATTATTTAAAACCTCTTCCATAAAAGCCATTTTGCATTTTATTTTGCGGTGCATTTCCGCGTCATTTAGCACTATTAAAAAACCTGCAAGAAGGAATGCTTTAAATCTATACTGCTAGATTTAATTTAAAAATAATTCTTCTGTTTCATCTGTTCCTTCAAACAGCTGTTTAATTTTACCATCACAAGACTCAAGACTAAAGAATACATAAAAGAGATTTAGTGCATCTTTTACAATTGTTTTATTAATTTTATGAATACTAACAGTCCAGGTAAGGCGATAAGAGAGGTGGTAGATTTTACATAGACAAGACTGAAATGACGAGAATCCTTCCATTATTATTTTTGACATGGATAAAAATCGTTTTTTTTTCGGTTTTATTTTGCTACAAAAGCAGTCATAAAAAATTAAGCCTGAAAATAATTCAGAAATTTAATATTTATAAAAGCAATGATATAAACGCTGCTAATCCAGAGAAAATAAAATAATTTTTTTAGTTTTATTCTACATTTCTATTCATTTTCATCTAACCTAAGTTATAAACTGAAATTTTACTTTTGTAAGACAAAGATTGATTTACTGTGCAGGAACTCCGTTATAAATATGCTGGAACCCCACTTAATAGTTATTTGTTCTATAAACTTTGCCGATAAAATTTTAAAATAAAATAATTTATTTTTTAACCACATGACCAAATTCTGCCATTTTTGTTTACATGTTCTGTGATACAAATGTAAACAAACAAATTGTTTTTAGCATTTTAAATTTTTTTTTGTTTGATTATCAAAAATACTAAAAACATTGATTACATTCAATCTTTAGTAAAGTACATCAAAAACATCAATCAGTCATATTTTTATAACAGTATTTATTTTATTAACATCAGTTATGATTTTTTAAAAATTTAATAGTCCTTTCGTATAATTTCGAGTCTATCCTCGGTTGTTTCTATTGGAAGGGTGTAAAACGATTAACGTTATGAAGGATATTGTGAATGTTTTGGAAAAGACCTGAAGTACATGTTGTTATATAGCGCAGACATTTTGTTCACATTTAAATAATTCAGTTTTAGAAATCAATGTCACGCGTCTAAGAATATTGGAGTGGCAATGTATTGATGAAACCCTCTTGAATTATTGCGTCAGACTTTCTTCTGAGACCGCGGCAACGCATGGGACAGGCACGCTAGTTTGATATATTTACTTTAAAAAAAAACTTTACATTATGCAGTTTGGGTAAACCGGTTCTAAACATTTTAAAAATTCTGAATTTTGTTTCTTTGACAGATTGCTTAGATGGAGAAAGTTTTCGCCTTTTTGACTCTATTCCTTTGCATTGCATGTCTCCCTGGTAAGTTTAATTGTCGTCTAGCTAATGTTTACGTAATGACGGGCAACACCTCAGAAGAAAGCATGGCTGCTAACGTAAAATTCCCGGTCCGATGAGGAATCGATTGCTGGATACATCGACCCATATGCGAGAGAAAACTCCGAAAACCAAAGTTGGGTTTCCCACTGGCGGATTCTGCAAACGAAGCTGGTACAAAATAATTGCTTTGGACTATATTGGTCAAGGTCAATAGAGGGATCATGATGTGTAGGTACTTCATGACCCCCCCCCCCATCTGATGCTTGGCTTTTTCATTTCTCTGGGCGCAACTATTTTCTCCCCAGTCATAAAAAATCTAGGGCTAGGGCGGGTAATGAAAACGGCAGGAAATTTTCGGCAATTTTTAATTTTTTTTAGACTTAACTCTTTAGTTTATAACCATATGCTAGATATGATAGCATAAATAAGCATTTCGTCTAATTATGTAATCTTTACCCCCCATGCCCTTAAGTACCTATCATACACTTTCCTGTCGTTATTAAGTAATTTTGAACACAATTCACAAGAAAAACGTTTCGTAAAATTACGTGTACTGTTTTTTTCCCCCCAGAGAAGATCGTCAGCTCAATTTATAATGCGACAATCGAAGGCTTTGAGCGAGATTGTGAAGCCAACAATTGCCGCTACACTGGCAGAATTCTGGCAAGTTTGTCTGTGAAAGGATGGGCTGAAACAAACTCAGGCCCCAGGCTCATGGTGGCTCTGGGCTATTGCTATGGTGATAAGAATGAGGTTTCATCATGCTTATCAGAGGGCGCTGATCCAGGGGTAAGTTTTTGTTGTGTGTATGCTGGTTGTAGTTGATGTCTAGGAACATGGGGGAGAAGGTGGTTATTCGAATTTATTTTTACAAAAATTGAAGCAGTGAAGATGGGGGTATCTATATTTCGTTAAAAATTGTTGCAATAAAGATGCGGGTGGTTATTTCTAACAAACTGTGGCAACGAAGGTGAAGGAAGAAGCTCTTCACCTCATTGTTCCCAAAAATTTTATTTAACCTTTAAAATTATAAAACTACTCTAATTAATAATACGCACATTATAATTTAAGCCTGTGTTTTCATAGGGACCAAACCCTTACGTATATTTTGTATTTACTGTACTTGAGCCCACTCTATACCTGCTCGTGTATCATGCTGTTGATGTTATGTAGTTTGTGTTGGTTTTTTGTGTGTTAAATATTATTGTCTAGTTGCTTAGGCTGATAAAAACAGTCGCAGTTCTAAAATGTTTTACAATCAGAGTTTCTTCCAGGCATCTCCCCCCCCCCCTCCCCGAACGAAATGGAATTTATATAGAAAACATATACTTTTACTAGTGTCCGACCCCCTCCCTCCCGCGGAAAATGTCGTCCGCCCTCCCCCCACGAGAATATCAAGTGCCCTCTCCCCCCCCCCCCCCCCCGAAGAAAAAAAGTCTGGAAAAAACACTGTTTACAATACAATATTAAAACGAATGTATGCAGATCGCCAAGATTTATGTCAACTGAAACAAGACAGAAGAGAACTGATACAGAAGAAAACAAAATTTCTATAGGTTAGGAGAGCTTTAGAAAAGGACACCAACTCTATGACAGCTACGCCCAAAATCGCATTACCGATAAAACGTATGCATTTGTTTAATTTAATCTTTGTTTGTTTTCAGTTGTGCATGCTCACGATTTATCCCTGTAGCTCTGATGGGGAAGTGGGACCTTGTCTCACTGAATGTAATGAAATAGGTGAAAATCAATCGAAATTCACGTTCTACCCCTTTGTTCTATAACGCCTTGTATCAGATTGTAGTGCAGGAAGTACCCTCGGGTGAAGAGCCGGGTGGAATTGTACACATTAGTAACGTGTTTGATGCTTCCATAAAACCGGGTAAGTGGTAGATAGGCCAAGTATATCTATATCTATATCTATATCTATATCTATATCTATATCTATATCTATATCTATATCTATATCTATATCTATATCTATATCTATATCTATATCTATATCTATATCTATATCTATATCTATATCTATATCTATATCTATATCTATATCTATCTATATCTATATCTATATCTATATCTATATCTATATCTATATCTATATCTATATCTTATCTATATCTATATCTATATCTATATCTATATCTATATCTATATCTATATCTATATCTATCTATATCTATATCTATATCTATATCTATATCTATATCTATATCTATATCTATATCTATATCTATATCTATATCTATATCTATATCTATATCTATATCTATATCTATATCTATATCTATATCTATATCTATATCTATATCTATATCTATATCTATATCTATATCTATATCTATATCTATATCTATATCTATATCTATATCTATATCTATATCTATATCTATATCTATATCTATATCTATATCTATATCTATATCTATATCTATATCTATATCTATATCTATATCTATATCTATATCTATATCTATATCTATATCTATATCTATATCTATATCTATATCTATATCTATATCTATATCTATATCTATATCTATATCTATATCTATATCTATATCTATATCTATATCTATATCTATATCTATATCTATATCTATATCTATATCTATATCTATATCTATCTATATCTATATCTATATCTATATCTATATCTATATCTATATCTATATCTATATCTATATCTATATCTATATCTATATCTATATCTATATCTATATCTATATCTATATCTATTTCTATATCTATATCTATATCTATATCTATATCTATATCTATATCTATATCTATATCTATATCTATATCTATATCTATATCTATATCTATATCTATATCTATATCTATATCTATATCTATATCTATATCTATATCTATATCTATATCTATATCTATATCTATATCTATATCTATATCTATATCTACTATATCAATATCTATCTCTATCTCTATCTCTATCTCTATCTCTATCTCTATCTCTATCTCTATCTCTATCTCTATCTCTATCTCTATCTCTATCTCTATCTCTATCTCTATCTCTATCTCTATCTCTATCTCTATCTCTATCTCTATCTCTATCTCTATCTCTATCTCTATCTCTATCTCTATCTCTATCTCTATCTCTATCTCTATCTCTATCTCTATCTCTATCTCTATCTCTATCTCTATCTCTATCTCTATCTCTATCTCTATCTCTATCTCTATCTCTATCTCTATCTCTATCTCTATCTCTATCTCTATCTCTATCTCTATCTCTATCTCTATCTCTATCTCTATCTCTATCTCTATCTCTATCTCTATCTCTATCTCTATCTCTATCTCTATCTCTATCTCTATCTCTATCTCTATCTCTATCTCTATCTCTATCTCTATCTCTATCTCTATCTCTATCTCTATCTCTATCTCTATCTCTATCTCTATCTCTATCTCTATCTCTATCTCTATCTCTATCTCTATCTCTATCTCTATCTCTATCTCTATCTCTATCTCTATCTCTATCTCTATCTCTATCTCTATCTCTATCTCTATCTCTATCTCTATCTCTACTCTATCTCTATCCTCTACCTCTATCCTCTACCTCTATCTATCTCTATCTCTATCTCTATCTCTATCTCTATCTCTATCTCTATCTCTATCTCTATCTCTATCTCTATCTCTATCTCTATCTCTATCTCTATCTCTATCTCTATCTCTATCTCTATCTCTATCTCTATCTCTATCTCTATCTCTATCTCTATCTCTCTATCTCTATCTCTATCTCTATCTCTATCTCTATCTCTATCTCTATCTCTATCTCTATCTCTATCTCTATCTCTATCTCTATCTCTATCTATCTCTATCTCTATCTCTATCTCTATCTCTATCTCTATCTCTATCTCTATCTCTATCTCTATCTCTATCTCTATCTCTATCTCTATCTCTATCTCTATCTCTATCTCTATCTCTATCTCTATCTCTATCTCTATATCTCTATCTCTAT